TATTTAGCATAATTCAGTTTTTAATAGGAACTTCTTACTGTGAGGTTGAACTACATTCCTAAAACAGAATCTATAACGGCTCCATCACAACTGCAGCATAGCAACAACAAAAAGAAAAATCATGTCAATGGACAGAACTTGCCCTCCTGACATTATTGTAAATGTTTTCTATTTTTTTCTTTCCCGTTTCTCTTTATTATAATCATTGTATTTAAATTTGGGGTTTTTACATTTTCCCCTTTCACTGTCCTTTTTTCCTCTTAATTTTGTGGTTTTCTTGATTAAACAATTGAATAACAATAATAAAACCAACCATTCTGATAACCATCTGGTTGAAAAAATCGGTAACCCACCGTGTATTCTCTCTGGGAGCTTTGCTTCCATGTGGTTTCACAGCTCACAAGTTTCTTGCAGGGGAAATTAGATGGCAGGAGAGAAAGCAGATGTTCTCACCTTTCTGAAAACTCGGATAGGACAAAGATTCTGCTTTCGAAGTTTCCTCTTCCACAGGAGGGATTTTGTTTATAACTATTGCAAACGTCTACTACGCCCTGCAAATAAACATATAAACTATATACTAAATGATACAACTTAAAAATATATATAAAATGTTTTATTATCTATTCAGAGAAAGGGAGCATGTAGTGAGGAACTTGTATAACCATGAAAATCCACATCGTAACCACTCCCACCCCACCAGTTTTGATTTCCATTCGTAATTCCAATGACGACTTCCATTTACAGCAGACTGCTGGCCTGAAGCCAAATTCTACCAGAAACGCGTGTGCCACACTGGTACCATCTAAGCAGGGAACAGGCTTGGCATCCAAAGAGGATGGCATGACCCCCTGTAATTTGCAAAGTGCTGTCAGCGCTATGAGAACTTTGGTCCTGTGCTTGCTGAATTCATGTCACTCAAATTCATCACTCTCTTCAGGTTCACGAGGTGGCTCAGCAATGGCACCTGAAGGGGAGAAAGAAAAGAAACCTAGGTTTCAACTTCTCACAGAATATAGATATTTTTTCCCAACTGCTCTTTGTCAGTTCATTTATCATTTCCATTATCATTTCCTTTATTTGTATGCCGCCCTTTTCCCTGGGGGGACTCAGGGCGGCACACAAACCCAAAGGAGGGGAAGGGAAACACAAGAACTACAACAAAAAGTACAGGGCATTTAAAACAACCAACAACCACACGATTCGAGAGGGGAAGGGAACTCATCGACCCCAGGCCTGCCGACACAGCCAGGTTTTAACGGCTTTTCAGAAGGCCTGGAGAGAGGGGAGGGTCCGAATCTCTGCGGGGACCTCGTTCCAAAGGGCCGGAGCCGCCACAGAGAAGGCCCTCCCCCGGGTAGTAGCCAGATGACATTGGCTAGTAGACAGAACCCGGAGGAGGCCTAATCTGTGTGATCTAATGGATCTTTGGGAGGTAATTGGCAGCAGACTTGTTTCCTGAGTCCCACCAGGTAACGCTTCCCCGGGGGAGACCTGGAGCAGACCCACTCTGCCAGATTAGTCTTATGAGCACACATGTGGCTTTAAAGGTGACAACTTTTCGATAGCATTTTGTTTCTTAATTTTTTTTAAATTTTATACACATAAACACATCAACAGAACACATAAACACATTAACAAAAATAACCACATAACTTAAAAACAACATAGGAACAATAAGTTCCATCGTATATCATACAGCAGTTCCGAATCGGTTTCTTTGCAGTTAGTGTTTTCCTTTCTATACATTTCTATCTTGCGTTCGTAATCTCATTACTCATCCATTTTTATATACATTTCTTTATTTATTTATACCTAGCTACTTATGATCAAGTATTATTTACCTATATTGTGCTTTATATTTTTACTGTCATCTATTCTCTTACATGGGTATACATTCACATAGTTATTCTTTTTCTTTGCTATCCTTTTTATTATTCCATTTAAAAGGTTATAAGGTATAATTTGGAATGTATTATTTACCATCCTTCACACCTGCTATGATACCACCTTATTTTCTCTTTCTTTTCTCCTTCCCTTCCTTCTCTACTTCCTTCCTCCTCTCCTTCCCCTTCTTCCTTCCCTTACTTCTCCCCTACTCCTAACCTCTGTCTTCTCCTTCCTACCCTCTCTCCTTCTCTTTTTCTCTCTTCCTCCCTCCTCTTCTTCTCTTTCTCTCCCTCCCACCCACCTCTCCTTACAATAGCATTTGTAAGCCCACTGAGAGAGTTCCATGGGGATGTCTTGGCACAGGCAGTAAACATTTTGAACCAGCTAAACTTTCCAAGTAGGCAGCTCCACATAGACTATGTCGCAATAGTCTTAATCAGAAGGTGACTAAGACATGAGTGACGGCCCAGTAATGCTTATTAATATAGAAATGGGTGCAACTGATACTTGTGCAAAGACCCTACTTGAACAGGGTCTGCCCGGGCAGAACTCCCAGACTTTGTACAAACTGCCTGGGGGAATGTGACCCGATTGAGAACTATGAATGGTGAAAAATCCCAAAGTACAAGGGATCCTAAAACCCACAGCTATTTTTTTTCCAGAACTACTCCATTCTAATCTGCACAGATTCCAGGCCAAGAAAAAACCTCAACACCTTCACTAAGATGCCCTGGGACAGATGTAACCGAATATTATCAGCATACTGAGAGTTAACCCTGTGGCGAAGTCTCCTGACTCGGCAGTTCCATGTAGATGTAAATGTTCAGAAGTAGCATGCAACAGAATATCAGTTAATACAGGGGATTAATGTGCCATTAATATCTCCAGCTTGGGGGCGTCCCGGAGGCTTCTGTTTGGCTTCTGTGTGAGACATCTTGCTAAGCAAGATTGAAGCCTGGTTCATTTCAACAAGACCCATATTAGCTTAACTTAAAAATAAAAAGTCACCCCTCGATGCAATCATTTCGTATAAAATGGGCCTACATATCTAAACCTCTTAGTGGCAAAGAGAAGTCTAAACTTGAAAGAAGATCAGTGTATATCTTTGCTGCAGTGCAGAGTTATTTGAAGAGCAATTTCTTCTATGTATTCCCCCCCCCCCCCATAGTTTTGGCTTTTGGAGAAAAGTGTTGTAAATGTCAGCCAACAATAAGAAGGAAAAATGTTAGCAAATATGATTACTGTGCTTCAACATTTTCTGATGGAAAACGTATTAGAGACATCAGCAAACTCCACAGGGGAAGCTGGGTAACAAAAACTTTTGGAGTTGAAATCCTTGTTTATGCTAAGGAGGTAAGGAAATACAGCAATACATAATACACCACATAAACCAGGTAGTTGAGCTCAGAGTAAATTGGCAGGCCTGTTGCTTTTCCCTTTCCTTCTCGTGGAATGCCTCACATCTGCACTGCTTACAAGGCCTTTATTTCAGCGATAGCAGAAGTGAAGGAAATGTTTTAACCTGGGCATCTATTGATGAATTTATTTCCCCCCCTCCCAAGGTATTTTTTTTCCCCTCAGTTCATTTGGGACCAGGGAAAATTAAATCTGGAAAAAAAGTAGTGAGTCATCACCAAATTTCTCTGATCACAACTATTAGGGCTGAACTGTAGGCATTAGTGAAATGGCAAGCTTGGCAGTTCTGTGATTCGAATCCCTACGTTCGAATCCCTACGAATCCCTCCGCTGCGTAACGGAGTGAGCTCCCGTTACTTGTCCCAGCTTTTGCCAACCTAGCAATTCAAAAGCATGTAAAAATGCAAGTAGAAAAATAGGGACCATTTTAGTGGGAAGGTAACAGCATTCCATGCGCCTTCGGCATTTAGTCATGCTGGCCACATGACCATGGAGACATCTTCAGACAGAGCTGGCTCTTTGGCTTTGAAACAGAGATGAGCACCAACCCCTAGACTCAGGAACCACTATCACCAGAGGTGGGTTCCTACCAGTTCACACCTATTCGGTAGAACCGGTTCGTCAAATCTACCGAACCGGTT